TCCAATCAGCACTGACTACCTTATGATAATGATGATGATGACATGGATAATCGGTCCAAATTCTACACGACATAGTATTAGTCAAATCACATTCTCTAAGGTTTTTGCTTTCGTTACAGGGATTTCCTAACAGGGTATTAACAATAAAGTTTAATTTGAAGGTTTTTTTTGTAAGAACTTTAATGTGGGACATAGAGAAAAATGCAGTGTTTATTATTTTTTTATGCTACCATATAGTACCGAAGAAAATAAAGACGATAACTTTGTAATTGCTTATCAGTTTACAGTTTAGTATGGTAAAATCGCAAAAATAGTCCAATAACAACATGACTTCTAACTTTTAACATCATACAATCATCATTAAGTAATTGTCTTTATTTTCTCAGATTTTAGGAAAACATATTATGGTAATATTCCATTTTCAGTGCATCCGTTTCAAATACAAAGAGTACTTTATTATTCTAAGGTTTTCATGTTCTTCAAATTGGACGTTTACCCATCAAAACGACGTTTCATTCCAGAAACATTGCAACATTTATGTAACTGTAAAAGCGCAATCTGACCTTTCTGACCTCTTACATTCTGACGCTGTCAGAGGCTTTTTATCTGATTACTCATATCGTTCCAATCAGTTCGTTTAAAATACCGCCAAAGAGGCACTAAATGAAGATCAGGCCGTTGGCCTCAAAGTACACAGTACAACCGTTCTTACCCGCACTTTTTAACAGTCCTTTGATTACAGATACGTTATGTATCCTTTACATTTACAGCATTATCTTATATCTTCTTAAGACCGTAGGCAGTAAATAAGATGAGTCAAACATTGCAAATTTTTATGTTAATCGTAACTTAAATGTTGTCAATGGAAAGGTTTTAAATACTGATCGGGATAAAAAGAATGAAGAAAATTTCGGCCGGACTACCTCGTGATCGATAATTTTAGTTTCTTTTATAGAAGGTTCATATCCCGAGTAAAAATTATTATTTTCAATTTTACTCTACCTAATTACGACCAAACTAGCTCCATAAATTTCTCTCTTATTATTACTAATTTCATAATAATTTTGTAACTAGGCGAGAAATTGTGGGTGGTAATGTTGATTAGTAATTTAGGGTTGGGATCGGGCCTGCGAATCAAATGGGCTTCTGACGATGACGATGAAGTTGATGCTGAGGAAATTCATATATCTACGAAAAGTATAGTGCATATCGTAGAATGTTTCGCTAAATGTGACTTCTTCAGGCCGGTTAACCCGAAAAATAGGAGAAATTTCATGTGTTTGATTCCATCTAAAAGCTACTTTTCCTTAGAAAAATCAAATTACATAGGAACAAAATTGATAGAACTATTTTTATAGAGCATGTGCTACAAAAAGATTCAGAAGAGAAAACATGTAACAGTAGCAGTTTAAACAGTAATAAACCATAATTCTAAAAAAAATAATGCCCTATCTGTACTCAAGGAAGTTACCATTCAAAGGCCCTTTCCACAGTATTAGTTATCTTAGTCTGACTGTAACTTTGAACTCGTTTGAAATTCGGCAAAACAATTGCGAGAGTGATAGGTAATACATTTAATAAGATTTGTGAAGATTTGAAAGATTTGCACTTTTTATATAATAAAGGAGATAATTGATCTACAAATGGAAAACTAAAAAGGACAATATGCGTGCCTATAAGTCCTAAAAATCTCACATGATATTCTGGAATATTTTACTTTAATTTAATACCTGGCAATATATCTTGCATAATTCCTTATGTTTTTTAAACCTTGTTGGCATTAGATATAACTTACTAATAAGTCTTATGGGAATTGTAAAAATTGTATTTGCCGCTCATCTGATTTTCAACGAGTGATTTGATCAATCTACATACGAATTAATTTCCCGTTGCATTTCGGGAAAATTTAAAAATAAGTAATCAAATCACATAACTCTAATTTCCTACTCGATTACCTAGACAAGCAGGTTAACATTTTTAATGCTTTATTATACACCGTAAGTGATGGTTCAATTTTCTTAAGTACGTACTTGCATGGAGCGATGCATAATCATTAAATTAGTTGTAGTATGGAATTTAAACGAGCATATATTTATTAATGAAAACAGCCAGCCTATTGGTTAACAAAGCCGAATTATAAGTTTTCATTAAAATAATAATTTTGCGAAAAAAACATTATTTTAATTCACCGTTAGATGAACATCCAAATGTATGACAGTTGAAAAATAAAATTTTCTGCTGTTATTAGTAAAAAATTTATTGATTTTATAATTTCTATCTACATATCTTATGTAGCAGTTGTTTTCATCCTCCCACCTTAATATCCAACAGCTTGATGCTTTTCTGTTTAAACGACAGTAAATCCTGGCAGTTAGAAAATAACATTTAAATTTATGGCTTCTCGCAGTAGGCATATTTACCTATCTTTTATTCATAATCTGCCCTACCCTACACATAAACGTATGTTCGTTCATGAGAAATGAAAAACACAAGACACTGATTCAGTGCATGCAAAGAAAAGCCGAAATCATATGTGGGCCTCTTCTCACTTCAGTTGACCTACTACAGGGTTTTCAAAGGTTGCCATTCGTGGAACATGGATATCACATAATATAACAGATTTAACGGGTTTAGCATCTTTTCATTAAAATAAATATCTGAATAAAGCCTATAAAATCAGCAAAATAAGAAGATATGTAGTATCTCACCACCATAAGGTCGTCAATCAGTTCTAAGACACGCACTCTTTCCTATCCTGAGCCAATCTTAGCGTTTTCCTAAAACTATAACAACCCGCATCCTTAACTATTTGCGAACAGTAATCTAATCCAGGTCTACCTCTACTTCTCTTAACTCCTGTTTCTGCCTGTAATATGTCTCTGAGTAGACCTTCTTGCCTGCGAAAGGTGCCCTAATAATTTATTTCTTATTGACTTCCATAGAATCCTCTGTTCTCCTATTCTTTCTAATAAATCTTCATTTTTAACCTTCCCTATCCACGGTATCCGCATCATTCGTTTATAACACCACATATCGAACGCTTCCATGTTTTCCACAGGCGAATGATGAGGATACCTTAGATAGTGAAAGTTACAAATGTGGAGGTATTAGAAAGAAAAGAACAGAAGACTCTATGGAAGTCAATGGAAAATAGGCGAGATAGGTTGGTAGGATACCTTCTCAAGCATGAAAGTCTTGTCTGAGACATATAAGAGGCAGAAACATGAGTTAGGAGTAGAGGTAGACCTAGATTAGATTACTGTTCTTAAATAGTTAAGCATGTGGGATGTTCTAGTTTTAGGGAAATGCGAAGATTAGCTCAGTATAGGAGTGGAGGTGCGTGTCCAATCAGCACTGACTACCTTATGATAATGATGATGATGACATGGATAATCGGTCCAAATTCTACACGACATAGTATTAGTCAAATCACATTCTCTAAGGTTTTTGCTTTCGTTACAGGGATTTCCTAACAGGGTATTAACAATAAAGTTTAATTTGAAGGTTTTTTTTGTAAGAACTTTAATGTGGGACATAGAGAAAAATGCAGTGTTTATTATTTTTTTATGCTACCATATAGTACCGAAGAAAATAAAGACGATAACTTTGTAATTGCTTATCAGTTTACAGTTTAGTATGGTAAAATCGCAAAAATAGTCCAATAACAACATGACTTCTAACTTTTAACATCATACAATCATCATTAAGTAATTGTCTTTATTTTCTCAGATTTTAGGAAAACATATTATGGTAATATTCCATTTTCAGTGCATCCGTTTCAAATACAAAGAGTACTTTATTATTCTAAGGTTTTCATGTTCTTCAAATTGGACGTTTACCCATCAAAACGACGTTTCATTCCAGAAACATTGCAACATTTATGTAACTGTAAAAGCGCAATCTGACCTTTCTGACCTCTTACATTCTGACGCTGTCAGAGGCTTTTTATCTGATTACTCATATCGTTCCAATCAGTTCGTTTAAAATACCGCCAAAGAGGCACTAAATGAAGATCAGGCCGTTGGCCTCAAAGTACACAGTACAACCGTTCTTACCCGCACTTTTTAACAGTCCTTTGATTACAGATACGTTATGTATCCTTTACATTTACAGCATTATCTTATATCTTCTTAAGACCGTAGGCAGTAAATAAGATGAGTCAAACATTGCAAATTTTTATGTTAATCGTAACTTAAATGTTGTCAATGGAAAGGTTTTAAATACTGATCGGGATAAAAAGAATGAAGAAAATTTCGGCCGGACTACCTCGTGATCGATAATTTTAGTTTCTTTTATAGAAGGTTCATATCCCGAGTAAAAATTATTATTTTCAATTTTACTCTACCTAATTACGACCAAACTAGCTCCATAAATTTCTCTCTTATTATTACTAATTTCATAATAATTTTGTAACTAGGCGAGAAATTGTGGGTGGTAATGTTGATTAGTAATTTAGGGTTGGGATCGGGCCTGCGAATCAAATGGGCTTCTGACGATGACGATGAAGTTGATGCTGAAGATGATAGAGTTACTAGTGCTAACGGTGATACTGGTACTGGTGGTGGTGTTAATGACGTTGGTGTATATATGTGTTAACATTAAGCAATAAAAATTTAAATATCTGCTAGATAAATTGGTATTAATTAATCAATAATTTCATTTTTATGTACGGTACGTTTTGGCGCTGTTTTAGATGATTTTGTATGTGATGCTGTTTTAGTGCTATTATAGTATGTCTTTTGGCGAGGCGCTGTTTGAGGGCTCTTTCGGATCTTTTTTAATGTGGTGCTAGTTTGGAGCTGTTTTAGACTTTCAAAGGGTAGTATTTTGGCTATAATTTTAGAATTTAAATTTTCGTCTAATTTGTAGAAACTATTACGGTTGTAATTTAGGTCATTTCAGACATTTGGAGGCGATTCGGTGGTTATAATTCTTTTTTTTTTTTATTCGGGTTGTACCATACAAATTCCTCTTCTTCAATAATACAATCTTTCAGCGTGTGAGCACGAAGGAAGTGTATTCGAGCCTGGTTCGGCGATGACCTCCTCGACCTTTTGCGAGCACTGCTTTTGTATCGGTGGTCAACAACGATGCATAAGACCCAAGTGTTTGCTCCAGATACAGGGCTGCCAGCCTGTGTACGAGGACTACAGCTGCTGTCCTGTAAGATACGACTGCACCATCAAGCACCAAGTCCTACCGCCGTCGCAACGCAACCATATAGAAGTGACCACCGTGAAGCTGAGCAAAAAGAAAAACGGCGGTGGTGGAATTCGAGGTAGAAAATTTTTGCATATTTTAATGTTAATTGCCCGCACAGAAGAACGCGCTGGCCAAGTTGTTCGTTGTTGAATAGGAACGAAAAGAAAAATGAATTCCTTAGCTTTTTCTATTTTCTCGTTCTTCGGTTTCAGTGAAAAGATAAGCGGACAATTCAAAACAAAAAGCAAAAGCAAATAAATGTATGAACAATTGAAAAGTAAGGATTCTTTCGATACATACAATGACAAAATGTCTTTCTATATCCGTTTTTGCTATAGGAATTATTTTATTATGTCAAATGATTTGTCACTGTAAAGAAATATTTTCTGATTTGTAAAATTAGATTTCTTAGATGTATCACCTTGCTTATTCGTAGATTTTAATCGGCAAATTTATATTATAATAAAAGTAATTAGAACATATAAAAAAAACTTGTTCGCTTATTATTTTAGAGGGATGCTTCGTTTCAAAGAAATATTATCCAGAGGGTAGTAAAGTATTAGGCTTAGGTTATTCAGTTTGCGACAATTGTTACTGCGTACACAGCGTGGTGCGTTGCGAACCAATGTCCTGTGCACCACCCTTATTGGGTTGCACTCCCGTTATCAAAGAGGGGGAATGTTGTGCCACCAGTTACAATTGCAGTAAGTCCATCGACAGACTTTCAATCATTTTAGCATTGTCAGTTAAAGTGCAATACTTACAGATAATTCTATCGAAATACAACCGAACCCAAATTATGGGGAATTCCCGGAAATAAGTAAGGAGTACGCAAAACTGAGAAAAGAAGTCCCATTGTGGAGCAATCAAGAAATAACGCAGAAAATATCGGTTGATAATGGACTCCATTATGTGATCGCTCAAAGTTTAAACAATATACACTCCGAAAAACCAGAAACATTACGACGAAATTCGATTAATCCCGTTAAAGAAATTCACCATAACGCATACAAAAGGCATACGTCTCCTTCGGCAACTGCTTCAAAATATCCCAACGTATCCACTAATCTGAAGCAATTTGTACAAATACAAACAACTCATTACAAACCAAAACCAATCAAAAGTTCGCCAAAATACAGTTTGGATGGCAGAGTAATAAGAAAGGTTGACAACAAATCACTTGATAGAGAAACAACAATGACGATAGCGAGAACTGCAACAACGAAAAACTTTTCTAGCATTAGTACTTCTACCACAACAACAACAATTATCCCTAATTCAGAGATTACTTCTACAAATACCCAAGACCCAAACATCACTACAGAAATGACCGAAATGCACACTTCCACAATAGCGGTTTCCGGTTTTGAAACCGACTCCACGTTATCCGACAGTTTTATAGCTGATAATAACAACGAGACTGTACCTACTGTCATAACTACAGTGGTGTCCAAAAGTACCTGTCTTGAAACATCGACTAACGTTGATGAAACAACAATTGAGCTCACAACAACAGACTCAAACGTTGAGGCTAAACAGGAAATTGATAATAAAAGCAATACAATGAAAGTTCAAGATGAAAACAAAAGCAATGCAACAATTGTGTCTGGTTATACAACATCAAGTGATTTGCTCAATACAGAACTGGATAGTAAGGTGAACGTTTCTACACCCACTTTTATCCTTCTTCCGGCAATTTCTCCTTTAATAGGAGGCATTTTGAACGAGTCAACGGTCGAAGATTCTGCAGATTACGATTATAGTGAACCCACATTGCCACCTTCTCTACCTAATCTGAGGTAATCACAAGACCATTGCGTAAATCGAAACTTTTTATTACGATAGCCTTTAATTTTAGGATTATACCGTTTGTGGCGGCCGACGCTGTAGATGAAACAAATGAGGAAGAAAATACAAGATTCTCTCCTGTTACACAGAGTCCGCCATACACTTTATTTTCACCTCCTACAAAAACTGAAGGTATGCAGCAAAACCAGTTTCCCTTATTTATTTTACTTTTTTGGTACAAAATTCACTCTTTTTTGAGTTTCTTCTTGCACACAAGGGTATTCTTTCGCTATTGAAAAATCAAGTCGTTTTAAACATAACATAAACCATAAGGAGGATTATGGGAAGCAAGGAAGTCGCAACTATTTTTTAATTTAGTGAAGTTATTTGAAGTCGCTTTCTAGTCGTTTAAGCCCATCTTAAAACCTTTTCTATAATCCTACAAGAATTATAATGTTAAAAGCTTCATCCAAACATTCTAATTAATTAAAACAAAGAAAAAAACAGAAGTTGTTTGTTGTTACTTAAAAAATCTCATCGAGACCGTCAAATAGTGAAAAAAATCATACTCAATACTGTACTTGTTCAAACAAAACAAAGAGACTTTGTCGCTTTCACAATTTACATTTTGTGTATCACACTTTTAGGTGGATTTGTCCCCAAAGAACCACCCCTATCGGTAGAAGGCTACGACAGCAGCTTTCACGTAGCAACCACACACGCTGATTCTGATAAAGTCACTTCAACAAAGCCCCTAACCGAAATCCCAAACGTGTTAAATTGTAAGTGAAAAATACGAACTTTGTTCAATTTTTGTAAAGCTGCATGATTATTTCAAACAATACAAATAAAGTAAACGGAAAATTTCACTAATTTCTATGTAGGTACCTAAATAATAAATTTATCTGCCTTAATACCACGTGTTTTTCTCAGACAGTTGCCAAGTAGAAAGCACTTTATTTGAACATGGACAGACTGTCCCCGGAAAGGACGCCTGCACGATTTGTACATGCTTGTATGGCAAAGTGGCATGCCACGAGCCGGAATGTCCTCCACCCGAAATATATTGTCGAGAACCATCCGTAAAGGAAATTTTGTCATGCTGTCCGTCACATTTTTGTGGTAAGTAACAAAAAGTTAAGCAGCAAAAATTTTTTCTTTGATTGCTATCATATCTATATCTCATGCGAATTCCACTCCCTAATAGGTGACGATCTATCGGATGGCCCTGTGGATCGAGCGGATGCATTTGACGAAACGTTGGGAAATTATTCTGCAAACAAATCGTCTAACGGTGGTAAACTCGGCGACCGCGAAGAAATGCCGTTTTTAAATTTAAACTTCAGTCACAGTTCGTTACCGCGGCCGTCAAAACCCTCGTCCGAATACAAAAGCTCGTTACCAACGCGCCGCGTTCAGACGCTTAACAATAATAACATTAATGGAAAGCCCGACCGGAAACACCTGAGCAACGAAATTAACGAAACAACGAAAGATACAAATCAAAATACGAGCAGCGATAGCCAATTTGGACCGGCCAAGATTTATGGTAACAATAACAAAAGCATGTTGACGACGTCCACGACTGCGATGACGTTGACGAGTCATGGGCAAAATGATGAGGTCGCTGTTTCCATCGCGGGTGGCGAAGACAAAGGAAACAACATCGACGGGACCGTGGGAGTGCTCAAACTTGCCGGATGCAACATCTACGGCAGAATGTATCGGGTCGGGAAAATTATTTTCGAACTATCCGGACCGTGTTTAGAGTGTCGGTGTACAGATGTTGGAGTACAATGTAAATCGAATAAATGTTAGTTGTAAGTTACTTTGCTTTATTTAATAGTGTGAAAACAAGGCAGCAAGAAATTCAAAAAGGTAAGTATGATCGTTATCAAATACTTAAAGATTCAAGATCCCAAAGGTGGCCAATTAAAACACAACGTGGTGGTAAGCTTTTTTCCGCGCAGATCGGTCGTGCCCTACCGTTTTCATCGTCCTTCACCGAAGGCAACTTCAGTAATGACTTGATCTATTAATTGATTCTGAATCGTGACTTAGCAGCCCGGCAAGGCATTATCTAAAAGCCAAAACTACAGCTAAATTTTCCTCTTTATCTACTAGTTTTCTTAAGGTTGAGGCTAGTAGCAAATATCACCCAGCTTTCGTTAATAAAACGCTTCAACATTCTTGAACAGAAATTTATTGTCAAAATAAATGATAAATTAGCTTTTTCTTGACATTTACCGCTGTTCAAATATTTTCAGAATGGTAAATTTCGCTAAAACTTTTCTATTAATTTCCTATATCCTTTATATTTTACAATTTTCTAGATATATAGTCGACTCCTGTTAATTCGAAACTCGAGGGACTCTTAAAATATTTCGAATTATCGAGTGTTTGAAATATCAAATGGTTCGAAATTTTTGAGAGAACATAAATATTTTCATTTCTCTTTTTTCTCTTTTTGAAATTTGTAAGCCACCCTTCACTTGCGGCGAAGTTTTTGATCTTTAGAGAAGACGCGAAATCTTTTGCTTATTCCTTTAACAAGTTTCCGCTAATAGACACTTTTTGTCCTCTACACTGTCTTAGCCAAATGACCAGGCTTTTTTCCAGGAAATTTACCTTTAGTAGTTCTTTTCCGTACTCCAGCAGTTTGAACAGCATAAGTTTTCTCCTAATCCTAACAATAACAAAGGCTCGATGATACGATGATACAACTTTGAACTTGCCTCAAAATGTACTTGCAATCTTTCTGTCTCTTGTATGTGTGTACGTGTATGTTTGTAGGTGTAAATGGATGGTGATTGCGGCAGAAAAAAGTGTTTGAAATCAGATTGTGTAAGCTTTTACGGCTGGTCAAAGTAAATGTAGCCAAGTTTTCCGGCCGGACTTAATTTAATTAATTCCACGGATTTTAAGACTGAAAAACTTCACTACATTTACTTTTTGAGATGTGTTGTCATAGGAGGATGATAAAAATACCGCGAAGGTATTGAAAACAGTGGAAAATCAAAGGGTGCTATACATGTCAATAAGGAAATGGAGTGCTGTGTTGGTATAGAACAATTTCTGAGACATGAAATGCTAATTAGAAACATAATAGAAATAGAAACTAGAGTGAAGAGGGGCAAAGGATTTAGGACGTTCTACAATAGTTTTCTGGAAATGCTAAGATTAGTTCAAGATAGGAAGATAATAACGATGAAATGATGATGGTGTTCTAGTCATCAAATGGGACTGTTTCATTTTTTTTTTTAATTTTAGACAGTCCTGTTTGGAAATTGTACCGGAGACTCATTAAAAAACGTGGTAAAGGTCTAGATGAAGGGGGTGGGAGTGAGGGAATCGAAAGAGGAGGTCCACCACTGTACCACAAAAAGTTAAAAGTTAATAAGTATGCCAATTTTTATGCATTTCTAGGCATGTAAATATTTATATAGTCATTCTTAAACAATATTCAAAGGTAAAACTAATGAAAAATACATAAAAATATTGAGAAAGTTATATAAAACATTATTTAAATATCTTTATCAATAGGGTAGGATAGGTTAGGTTATCGGATTTTGTTCAAGTTCATTTTTTTATTGAATTTTATTTGAGTTATAGTGTATGAAAATTGTCAAAATAATCAACTTTGAGACCGCCGCAAATTTTTTATGGGGTTTTACTCAGGTGACCACCATCTTTCGATCCCCCCTACCCCCACCCCTTTCGAGGGTGGGGAGCCATTATCTAATCCCCATAACTTTTTATGGGGGTGAGACCGTCACAAACTTTTTATAGTACAGTGGTGGGGGAGACCTCCTCTTTTGATCCCACCCACCCCCACCCCCGAAGGGGGTGGGTGCCATCATCTAGACCTTTACCAAAAACGTCTCTCATTAGCGGAGGCTGTTCTGCTATAAGTTTCCGATTTATTAATGTCGAAATTAAAAGAAAAATTTCTGTAACTTTAATCTTCCTAAAAATTCCTTGAATCGTCACACACAGCGTTCCTGTAGTTTACAGTTTGTATTTTGTTTCACCGAGCGTACCCACACGTGCATGTTGATTATGCACGAGTCCAAAAAGGGCAAAGCACACTTTGTATACAGTACGTACGTGATGTTCGATTCTTTTGGTCTTTTTCGTACTCGTCCTTTTCTGTTTTTCGATGGTGTGGTCAGCAAGAAACACGGTCGTATTGTAATCGCACTGGCACAAAGACCGTGTACCGCTCCATCGATACCTTAGTAACCATAAAACACCGTTGTTATTTACGAGGCGTTGCATCGGCGGGAACGATAAAATTAATCGGCTATTTATGTATCGGCAATTCCTTAATGACGTCCGTCTTTCGCGCTTGTGCTTGTCCTACAACGCTGCTAGTCAAAGGAGGTACTTTATTGGTTTGCGGCTCGTTCTCCACCGGATCGACTGCAGGAGTCGATGCAAATGCACTTGTACGAGAGTCCTCTTCCTTGCAACAACATGCACAGTCACTTCTGTAACTCAAACTTCAAACCCGAAATCTTCTAATAAGTAGAATGTTTTTTTATTTACTACGAAGGCGTAGAAGGGCCAAACATATATATTTTTTTTAAATTTCGCCTTGTAACTCGAAATTTCAATATGTATCTCAAGATTTTGACTTGTAACTTGAAATTTCNTCCACCCGCTTGAAAATATTTTTTTTATTGAATTTTATTTGAATTACGGTGTATGAAAATTGTCAAAATAATCAACTTTCAACCCCCATAACTTTTTATGAGGGTGAGACCGCCGCAAATTTTTTATGGGGTTTTACTCAGGTGACCACCATCTTTCGATCCCCCCTACCCCCACCCCTTTCGAGGGTGGGGAGCCATTATCTAATCCCCATAACTTTTTATGGGGGTGAGACCGTCACAAACTTTTTATAGTACAGTGGTGGGGGAGACCTCCTCTTTTGATCCCACCCACCCCCACCCCCGAAGGGGGTGGGTGCCATCATCTAGACCTTTACCAAAAACGTCTCTCATTAGCGGAGGCTGTTCTGCTATAAGTTTCCGATTTATTAATGTCGAAATTAAAAAAATTTCTGTAACTTTAATCTTCCTAAAAATTCCTTGAATCGTCACACACAGCGTTCCTGTAGTTTACAGTTTGTATTTTGTTTCACCGAGCGTACCCACACGTGCATGTTGATTATGCACGAGTCCAAAAAGGGCAAAGCACACTTTGTATACAGTACGTACGTGATGTTCGATTCTTTTGGTCTTTTTCGTACTCGTCCTTTTCTGTTTTTCGATGGTGTGGTCAGCAAGAAACACGGTCGTATTGTAATCGCACTGGCACAAAGACCGTGTACCGCTCCATCGATACCTTAGTAACCATAAAACACCGTTGTTATTTACGAGGCGTTGCATCGGCGGGAACGATAAAATTAATCGGCTATTTATGTATCGGCAATTCCTTAATGACGTCCGTCTTTCGCGCTTGTGCTTGTCCTACAACGCTGCTAGTCAAAGGAGGTACTTTATTGGTTTGCGGCTCGTTCTCCACCGGATCGACTGCAGGAGTCGATGCAAATGCACTTGTACGAGAGTCCTCTTCCTTGCAACAACATGCACAGTCACTTCTGTAACTCAAACTTCAAACCCGAAATCTTCTAATAAGTAGAATGTTTTTTTATTTACTACGAAGGCGTAGAAGGGCCAAACATATATATTTTTTTTAAATTTCGCCTTGTAACTCGAAATTTCAATATGTATCTCAAGATTTTGACTTGTAACTTGAAATTTCCACTTGCATCTCGAAATTTTGACTTGTAGCTTGAAATTTCGACTTGCATCTCGAAATTTTGACTTGTAACTTCCAATTTCGACTTGCATCTGGAATTTTTGACTTGTAACGTCAAATTTCGACTTGCATTTCGAAATTTTGACTTGTAACATGTAATTTCGACTTGCATCTCGAAATTTTGACTTGTAACTTGAAATTTCGACTTGCATCTCGAAATTTTTAATTTGTAACTTCAAATTTCGACTTGCATTTCGAAATTTTGACTTGTAACATGTAATTTCGACTTGCATCTGGAAATTTTGACTTGTAACGTCAAATTTCGACTTGCATCTCGAAATTTTGACTTGTAACTTGAAATTTCGACTTGCATCTCGAAATTTTGACTTGTAACTTCCAATTTCGACTTGCATCTGGAAATTTTCACTTGTAACGTCAAATTTCGACTTGCATTTCGAAATTTTGACTTGTAACATGTAATTTCGACTTGCATCTCGAAATTTTGACTTGTAACTTNCCACCGCAATCGATTAACTGATTGTTTATTTAACTGTACCTTCGTTACGCATTTAGGTATCAATAAGGTCAATCGTACGCTATAAATTCCAAAATGATGAACATTTCATTCAAATGATTTCACTGTGTCAATAAGTAGTACTGCACCAATTTTTTTGTATTTATTAATCAGGATTATCATCATCATAAGGTCATCAGTCCTAAGACTGATTGGACACGCATCTCGACTCTTTTATATCCTGAGCTAATCTTCGCATTTATCTAATCCTGGTCTACCTCTACCCCTCCTAACTCCCGTTTCTGCCTCTAATATGTCTCTGACTAGATCTTTATGCCTGAGAAGGTGTCCTACCAATCTATCTCGCCTATTTTTTATTGACTTCCAGGGAGTCATTCGCCTGTAACACCACATATCGAACGCTTCTAACCTTTTCTTTTCCGCAGCGCTCACCGTCCATGTTTCGCACCCGTCCAGCGCCGCACTCCAAACATACACCTTTAACAACCTTTTTCGAATTTCGCGAGTATAGAAGTGACTTCTTTTTATTGAAGGCGAATCGACCTTGCGCTATTCTCTGCTTTATATCCCTACTACTCCTTCCATCCTGACTTATCTGACTTCCTAGATACCGAAAATCAACCACTTCTTCTAAATTTTGTTTTACTTTAAAATCTAAGCATACTAACCTCTTGCACATCTATACCTATCCCTACAGTTGTACTGTCTTTAATGATGTTGATCGCGTCTTCGATGTATAGATTAAAAAGTGGTGACAGTGTGCATCCCTGTCTGACTCCCTTCCTAATATTTACTTCTCGACGTTGCTGCTTCATATCTATAACTACCTGTTGCTTTTTATACAAACTAAGGATCACTTTTCTATCTCTGTAACTCATCCCTGCATTTTTAATTATATTTAACATGTTGTCCCATTTAATCAGGATTTGGAAAATAAAAATCATATTCCGTTATTCGATAGAATTTAACAACTACTGTGGTTTTAAAGAAATAAACATTGCCCTTACTAATTTTCGTGAATGTATTAAGAGATGGGTAATGATTGAAGTGATTGCACTATAGTATTTTTTCATGAAAATTGTATCGAATTTGATTTTATCAGTTTATCAAGCACAAGGTTGACAGCTGCACCTTCTTTCTCTTTCTTCCTTTCTCCCCCTTGCTTCAAAACCTAAACATTAATTGAATACCACGTGCTTCTCCCTGTCAATTTGTAGTTACATATTTCCGTCAAAAAGTTCAAAAATTTTTTTGAGTTTCACATATGAAGCATGATAATCAATTATATTACCTTGTTGATTTTTTAAATTTTGATGAACCAATAATACCAAAAGATATCTATTATCTCTTGGCGTATTAAGTACCTAGCAAAATGAATAGATACTCTTAACAGCAAGACAAGTGCTGTGATATAGTAAAAGTTATAGTACCACAATATTAATTTTCTCATTTACTAAATTTTATTACTGTTTTTATGAGACTACCCAAAGATAAATATGGTAAATAATTTACTTAATTTGTTAGATTAAGTCCGAACAGTATGATGCAATAGAAAGATTTGTTATCGTTATAGAGGTACCGTAATAGAAACATCTATTTTTGAATGTATTAATATAATATAATGCAATCCACCTGTTTGGTACGTGTTATTTAAAACGTTCTTACGGAGAAAGTAAAAGCAGCTAAACGTGTGTGGACAGATAAATTCAGGGGCAGCTGACATTCAACTTTCTCATAATTTAAATGCAGTGTTGCTACAACGATTCTTAAATCTGTCTTGACGATAGAAACGGAAAACCTGTCTCCGCAACTGACTAAAGCCGATAATGATTGAATCAAACAGTTTTCCTAACTTTCTTTTCATATGAACATCACCGTATGGCAATAACATTGGATAAAAATTCATTTAAGTATAGCATTATTTATTCTTTTCTTCGAAACGTAGGAATAGAAAGTGATAAAAATAAAAACCAATCAATATGTACAAAAATGTATATTTTCTTTATACAAAATGACATTGGCACTGACAATGGAAGAATTTCTAAGTGCAAAAAAATAAATAAATCTCCTATTATAAAATAAAATGAAAACAGTAGAATAAAACAAATATTACATAAGAAAAAAGTAAGAATTTTAGTACAATTACTTTCGAGATATTTGAAAATCTTATGTTGGCAGTAAAAATCATGTTGCATCTACACATATGTACTAATGCACAAATCAAATACGAAGTACCTAATTAAAAAAAAAAATGAATCGAATCAACTCTTAAGTACCATATATACAGACGATTATATCAACAAAGTAGGTCAATGTAATTTAATTTCGATTATGTAAAGTGATAATGGGTTTGGGCTTAATGGCTAGAAAATTACGTGAATATTATGGATGTTGTAAATATTAAAATGAAAGAGGTGATTACGATGCGCGAGGATATTTCTAGCATGGACCGTTTTCCTTTTTGCAATTATTTTTATACAAATTTTTGTAAAATTGATTTAAGACAACATCAGAGTGCGAGGATGTTTAAGGACGCCCCACTTGATCGACTTGCTGCTGTAAATTATTGACAACTTCTGGAGGAACTTGGTCTCCCAAAATTTCAAACAGATTTACCCTCTGGTTACCGGGGATGCTTTCATATGCACCTATTTCAATCCCTTCAACTACCTAAAAAGAAAGATCTCAAAAATATAGAGTTACGTTAACGAACAACAAGAAAGGATTATTATACCTTTTGAATTTGAGCATCTTTAGGGATAAGTCGAGAGTTCTGGGCCTGCCGAATAGCTTCATTTGTGTATGATCCTCCTTCTTTTTGGGGAAACGCCGACACAACGGCCAAAAAGAAGAGACCAAAACAAAGTGCCACTCGCATTTTTATCTAAAAACAATAATAAATTAGTACATTTAAAAGAAGTACCTACATATTTTTATAACTCAACCTAAAAAAAATTTTACGTTAAATAGCTCGTACTAGTTCGTTTATTTTTTTTATTTAAATATTATGTTTTCTGTAAAATAAATGGGCAACACAATTTTAATGATTAATTTTAAATCGCCAAAAAAGCTGATATTATTTATAGTCTAAGAAAGCAGGAAATAAGGAACCAATAAACAAGTCTTCAACAATATTTCAGTCAAATGACTATAGACCTACGTATAATAGTACCCTTTAAAAATTGTCATATGACTGAATAATTATTGTTAAAATGGTTTCTTTTTCCGAAATTTTTAGTTTTTAATATATTTCATAAACCATCGATCTCCCACTAACTTCTTCTCAAAGAAATTTTTATAATACATAATTTATAGCTACAAAATATACCTAACTACGTTTGTAAACTACTCAAAGCCAATTGAAATAAATATCAACTTGCTTTTAGATGCTCTTTCGGTTTAGTCGGTGGTTTGCCATGACGTGCAGATGAGATCCTATAAGATTAAAATCGCGATCCAAATCTTACACTGCACTTACTAATTTGGTTACGAAACTAACACGTAAACCGAACATAAGTTCAAAAGATTTCGAAAATTCTGTTAGTTTAAAATATTTTCAGATAGACGAGGTTGAAGAAATATTTTCCACAGTTAGCAGCAGGTATCAGTAGGCATCAAATAGATTATTTCGAAACTTTTAATACAAAGCGTAGGAATATCTTTAAAAACTAGCTGTACTCGTTAGCGAAGAAAATCTGCAAGTCTTTAACAACTATTATATTTGGTTATGTAGAAACCAATGTTGTATTTACTAGAATAATATTTGACGTAATATATATATGTATATATACTTATAACGCTGGTCATTTTTCCTTATTTAATAATTAATGAACTAGTACGTAGTACTTACATTTACAAAACACTGTTTACACAAGTTTTACAAACACAAAAGAATTACACTAACGTTGGTGGACATGTACGACTAACTAACAGTCTGTAGATTAAACAAGAAGCGGAAAGAAAAAAAATGAAACTTACCTCAGCGATATGAAAGTGTAGAAAGAATCTTCGGAGCATTTCACATTTTCACCTTTATATAAGTTCCTATCCCCGTTGTCGTCTCGAAACTCTCCCGGCCCCCCTTTGGCTAATTATGACCTAAATTACGATCTTTGATACTTAAATGTTTGTATGAGGCAATAAAAAGATCCCACAGTCCTACTGAATTCACAGGAAGTCATGAATTCAAAACAATATCCACGTNCCTTTGTAGTGCATCGTAACAGAAATTTTTCGCACTTCTGATGCCTATTGGCTTTTTTGCCGTATTGCGTACGTCTGTTATTATTATTTATGATTAGATAGATATTTAATTTCTCATTCGGAAACGTCTAATAACAAATTAAATTATTTTAAACTGTCAGGATCAATTATTCAATCGCATGTTTAAATAATAATTGCACTCCACATATGAACGACTTACTTATTTAGGAAGTGAAAGGTAAACTTATTTGAAGTAATAGTTTTAATAACAATTACGTACATGTCTGAACTTCTCTATACATATTAATATCTATATTTTCACAGAGACATATTATGGTAACCACATATGTGCATTATTATGGTCAATATTGTGCCAGGGTCAATAATTATGCACGTTTATCGTATTAAAAGATCGGCACTCAATTATTATATTATATTCATTAGCATTTTATGTTACCGTAATGAGACACATTTAAATTAAATAATCGAATGCTCTATCGACCCCTGCAAGGATTGAAGTTAGTTGAAGTGAGTTTTTAGTTATAGTGAGCAAAAATGAGACTAAAAATGAATAAACGTATAGTTTTAAAGATAACTTTATGCAATAATACATAAACACAGTTATTTCAATGGCTAAAATATCAAGAACCACCCCAAAAGGGAACTTTCGTAAAATAGGGTAAAAGTATTAGGAAATATTATAATTTGCTTCGAATAAAAGTTGTAAAGAATTTTGTTTTACATAAAAAAAATTCTGTTACTGTAACAATTATAAATCTGCAAAAGAGTTAAAAGTTAAAGGTTATAAAAAACAATAATTTTTTTGTTTTTCAAAGAATAAATGTTCATCTTCAATTTCAGAGAGATGTAATACTTTTCTTCTTAGTTTAACCGTAATCTTTCAACTAAGAGAAAGAATTCATAAATAACATTACGATTTTTAACTTAATTGTTTGAATAAAGAAGCTGATTCCATAAAAGGGCACAAATTATTTATTGTAAAATATTTGTATATTTCCATAACAAGCTATGAACGAATACATATACTGAATTCACACAAAAATGAAATAACCTACTTTCTATATATATTTTTGTTTTTTTTATATCAAAAAATAATCATTTACGATGTTTCTAGTAAACCATTTGAATTAATAATGAATTTTGGAACATTTTTAGTTTAAGTTAATAACTATTATTATTATTGTATATTAAATAAACAATTTATATCCAAAATCGTTTTCTTTTTAAATATAACTTCCTTATTGTTTATTAACTTTCACTGGCCCAAGACACGTCACTTTTTTATCCCATAAATTTAATTTATAGGGTATCGTCACATTTACGTGATTATTTAAAAAGATTTCATCCAGTATCCTGTATGAACTACTGCCAGAAAAGAGCATGTTTTCACTTGTATAAACAATTTAACATTCTTTAACAGAGTCATAATCATTTTTGAAGTCGAAAGTTTCTTCCAGATTTGTTGATATGGTCTAGAATAGTATGCACGCGAATAAAAATGTACATTTGAATAAATGAATCCAATATAACTGTGCCCCAACGTTATAAAAGTAAGTAAATTTGCATACAATTCGAATTTGTGTATGTATACAGTAGGTTAATTGTTTGGCGCTAACGAAATTATAGCGTTGGTGAAGAAATACACCTTAAAGCATTTAACATTTTGGTTCTACAACTATTTACGTATTGTAAATATTTTTATTGTTCAGCTAGACGCTTTAAACAGGTCAGAATTCAATTAAACGTTAAAAGTTTAAAGCAATTAGCACATAAAATATACATGAAATAAAACACAATCAGTTACTTTAATGACAATAGTTAGATACTATTTGCCTTCGCTCAATACTTTTACACGGTTCATTTTTAACACAGAAAAACGAATTATGAAATTCTGCTAAAGAAAAGTATAATTAATTGGTCTTAAAACTGGGTTTCAGTTAGTAGGTTCTTCTCTATAAGATTCAAATATTGCTCAAAAAAAGGACAATGAGTAATTTTGCCTAAACTTTCGTATAAAAAAGAAAGGATTAGGGTCGGTAACTTATGGAAAGCATCTTCCTTGATTTTTTTATTAAATTAGATTAATGTTGTAAGTATATGTCCTGAACTGTAAGATTAGTCTAACTGGTTGGTACTAAACGAAGATAGCGATTTCGAATTCACTTGTCCTCATCAGCACGTCAGAGGCATTCTCTATTTTCAGAAGCAAA